TAGGCATGTAAATATTTATATAGTCATTCTTAAACAATATTCAAAGGTAAAACTAATGAAAAATACATAAAAATATTGAGAAAGTTATATAAAACATTATTTAAATATCTTTATCAATAGGGTAGGTTAGGTTAGGTTATCGGGTTTTGTTTAAGTGAACATCCTTTTTTTAACCCCCACCTCCACCCGCTTGAAAATATTTTTTTTATTGAATTTTATTTGAATTGTAGTGTATGAAAATTGACAAAATAATCAACTTTCAACCCCCATAACTTTTTGTGGGGGTCAGACCGCTGCAAATTTTTATGGGGTTTTACTCAGGTGACTACCCTCGACCCCCTTACCCCCAATCCCATCTAACCCCCATAACTTTTTATGGGGGTGAGACCGCCACGAACTTTTTATGGTACAGTGGTAGGGGAGACCTCCTCTTTCGATCCCACGAAGGGGGTGGAGGCCATCATCTAGACGTTTACCAAAAGAAATTTCACTTATTGTATGTTTTTCAAAATTGCAAAACATATACATATGAATGAACATTTTTTAAGAGTTTAAGATAAAAAAAAAGATTTTTGACCCACCCCCTCAATAATGCTCCGTAACGATTTGTTTTACCTCCTCATCAAACTTACGTACCTCCCTACAAAAGCGATTTATATAACGTGAATTCCGAAAAATTACTATCGCGTTTACAGTAATAAGTCACCCTTTTGTAAGTCACCGTAGCATTTTACAAAACACCCCCCTACCCATTAACCGCGTTACGTATTACATAGACGGTCCCCTCATCAGTACACTTTAACACAATTTTAAATTTCCGTATTATCAATCACTAACAATACAGGTACATATTGTGGTGTCTAATTCAATAGAATTTTTTTTATTGGTACGAATTATGTAAATATAAGGGCACCTTAGGATTTCTTTCATAGTCTCAGTCTGAGTTTCCACGAATCATAATAAAGCGCACGTATTGTCAATAATTCATTCATGAATTTACATGAGAAGCATTCCATTCATTCTTTTCGAATTAATATTTTTTATTATAAAGTCAAATTTTGCGGTCTTCAAAGAAAAAAAAAAGAAAATAGTAGATCGTATTTTACATAATAATTGTGTTTGTAACTAAGTACTAACTTTTTATTAAAAGAAGTTTGTCCATTAAATATATATATTAACCCGCAGGGACTATTGTATTTACGTTTCCACCCACGTTTCGGTTGAAAGCTCCTCCTAATCGTCTAATAGAAAAATTGACCTAACCCTAAACAGTTTAATTGTAAAGGCTGCACCTACCTCTACAATACTGTTATTAGTTCAATGTTACGTTTAAAAACTGTTTAACAAAAGGACAAAAAACAAAGCATGATACATGAATGCTCGGATTGCTGCAAATTCTTTTTAAGTTATAGTATCTATATTATAATTATTTAAAATCAATATTTTTTGTTAAGAGATACATTAGGAACATTATATTTTGACTTATTGAATTAGGTTCTCCATTTAAAAATAAATACTATCTCTATCGTTTTTGTAGAGCAGCCTTCGGTTTGGGCGATGATTTATCGGGCGTGCTGATGAGACCTAATGAGATCGAAACGTCTAACAGTTGACATAAATTACTGACTACGAACTTTACATCTTTTCCATGTAAATGTGTATAGATATCTCAATTCAAGATTTATTTTTGAAATGAATGTTTATCAGAATTGTCCACCTCATACAACGCAGAAAAACATCACCATTACTCGTCCATTGATATAAAAAAAGGGAAAAATATTTTTTAGAATTTCAGGAATAATAATTGTATCATCGCATACTTATTTTTTCTAACAGCAAACTTAACTTTTACTTGGTTTATTTACGTATATGGAATTATTAATAAGTTTTATTTTTCAATGAAATAAAAACACAAAAGCAATCTTAAAATTTCTTATATTGACAAAAATCACCCGGTGCAAAAATAGGTACAATACTTGTATACTGTAAGGTCCAAAAAGAGCCCTACTGTACAATAAATCACTATAAAAAATCGTTGTGGTATAAAAATAAGTAAAAAAACTGCAGTATTGTATATCCTAAAAGACGGTCCATTACCGCATTCCAGCAGCTCTCAATTCCATCAAGGCGCTTTGAGTAATGACCCCCGGACCATTATTAATAAACGAACTAGTGTAAGAGTTACCCCTCGAAACTATACGTTTTCTCACCTGTTTATCTCTATTCAGATTAACGCTGCTGTGTTTGTTTTGATTGTCAGACATTCTCGTCATGTTGCTGGAATCCCCTTGCGATTTCGTCAAAGTTCTTTGACGGCTCTGCTTCGGATCTTGATGGTCTTTTGGTATTTTGGAATCGGATTTGATGTTTAAAGTCGATTTGACAAATTTCATATTCGAAGGACGAAACTTTGGTTCCGATTGCGATTGATACGGCGTCTCTTTTGCAACACAACGATGATTTCTCAAATATCTGTCGGTTTCCTTATAGACTTTTGACTTCACTTCCGGCTTAGCGACGTCAGTCTTTGCGGTGCTTGTCTTTGCTTTCGACACGATAATTTTTCCGGATCGCGAATTGTGATGGACCGTCATAATTTCGTACAATTTATTTCTGTAATCGTCTACTGATAGTCTTACGTCGTCGTTTAAAGGGGGTGTAACCCTATTGAGCATTACTTTTTCTTCGGACGGGTTATGAAACCTAATAATGATCGTATATTGTAAGAAATTATGCGACAAAAATACAGTAGACACTCGATAGTGTGAACGTCGCGTAATGGAAACCCCGCATAAAGTGAACAACGTTGCCAATTATGCCAGGCCATCGTATACCACGAAATATTTCACTTATAGAAACGAATTTCCATATAAAAAATTAAACCAATAGTTGAATGAACAAACTGACAATGTGAATACTATCGTATGTCTACTATATGAAGTGAAAAATGTTCAAAATTAAACGTTTTAATAACGTCTTCTATACGAGCAGAAATGTGAAAAATGGTTTTTTAAATACTTTTTGATTTGTTACTTTAAATAGCAGTATTAGCATCTAGCAAGGAGGACTGTATGAAAATAAATAAAAGTAAAACTAAAATACTGGTATGCAAGGGAAAGAAAAGTAGGGATAGAGCGAATATAAGGATAGGAGACGAAAAATAAGAAGTGGCTGATTTTAGTAGGAATATAAAGCAGAGAATAGCGCTAGGTTGAATCGGCTTCAATAAAAAGAAGTCAGTTCTATGCTCGTGAACGGTTAATTTAGAAATTCGAAAGGATACCGTGGAAAGAGAAGGTTAGAAATAANTCGCGAACGGTTAATTTAGAAATTCGAAAAAGATTGTTAAAGGTGTATGTTTGGAGCGCGGCGTTGTACGGGTGCGAAACATGGACAGTGGGCGCGGCTGGATAGAAAAGGTTATAAGCTTTCGAAATGTGATGTTACAGGCGAACGATGAGGATAACGTGGATAGAAAAGGTTAGAAATGAGAGGTATTAGAAAGAATAGGAGAACAGTATACTCTACGGAAGTCAATAAAAAATAGGCGAGATAGGTTGGTAGGACACCTTCTCAGGCATGAAGGTCTAGTCAGAGACATATTAAAGACAGAAGCAGGAGTTAGGAGGGGTAGAGGTAGACCTAGATTAGATTACTGTTCGCAAATAGTTAAGGATGTGGGTTGTTCTAGTTTTAGGGAA